CTGGGCAGGAGATGTTCAATTTGCTGTGGGGATAGAGTTGCTGGTCGTTGTATTCAATAAGCCGCCTTCACTTTTGACAACTATAGCGCATTGCCTTCAGATTATCCCCTGATCCATCTGGTGGATACATCCTCTACAGATAGAAGATCCAAGTTCCTGAGCACAATATTTTCATCATCTTTATAAAAGTCATTAAATAAACCCTACCTCTAAGACCCTAAATAATAGTACATACAACCATCCCATTTTAGATCGCTAAAAGTCGCCGATGCGAGAACAAGAAAGACATCAGGAGATATCCGCGCGCGAAAGGCCGAACGATCAATAACCTCATAAGCTCAGTGACCAAGCAAGCAAGGGCAATTAACACAGGCTCTGCACTGTCCATACTGTCTACTTCTCAATTCAACCTGATTGAAATTGAATTTCTGTCCTGTGACAACCCTTATATCGAAATTGCCGCGCATATAAAAACAGCCATGTTTGTTCAACATCCATTACATTCTTCAAAATGTCCACATCAGCTCCGAGTTTGCACATCATCGTGGCTACCCACCACGAGTCAATCACAAAGTGATCCTATATTCGACCCATACCCATCAGTCGCATCCCCCCAACTCATCGATACTACCGCTAAGTAAATCCCAAAGAAAGCTACGGCATTGAACACATCCTCCTTTCCAAATACCGGAATCCCACGATCAAAAAACCGATTGTGATAACCAAGCATGGTCTGGGAGATACAAATGATCAGGCACCCTCAGCCGGTCAGCAACAAATACGACATGCTTCTCGATCTTGGCCGGGGAGGGGGCGGCTTTAACGCAGGCATCGCCGTTGTCACGCGCAGATCAGACAAGCTAATTTGTATCCGCAAGCGACTCGTCCTCGGCCAGCTATCGACGCCTCACCACTGGAATAGAGAGGCAGACACCATGCGCAAACTGCGAGGACATCGGAACATCTGCAGCTTCATCGAAGCCAATATCGGGACAGAGAGTGGGGAGTTATACGTCGAGTACTGCAAGATGGGCACCCTCCACGATTTCTTGCTGTACATGAAAAGCAGGCTGCTGGTTGTACCCGAAAGGTTTGTATGGCAAGTGCTGTTTGACTTGACCTCAGCGTTGTGCTGGATGCATGATGGCATTAAGACTGCAGCAGCTATCGACCAAACGAGGGTACCGGGCTGGATGCCTATTATACACAGAGATATTAAACCAGATAATTGCTTTCTCCAGGTGCAGACGTGCCCCAACAGCATATATCCAATGGTCAAGTTAGGAGATTTCGGCCTTGCAATCCGCAAGAAGGACTTCAATAACTTGAGTCCCACCAGTAAAGCAGTGTGCGCTCCAGGTTGGTTCCCCCCAGAGTATCCTCTATGTGGAGAACGCAGCGACGTTTACCGCACTGCGGCGATAGCCCAGTTGATGTGCTTGCCCACCTGGGCCTTTGGTATTGGCGCACAAGTATCACCATATTACAGTCAAGGTCTGCGTATTTGTATCCAGACAGGAATGCTCAGAAACATCCACAAGCGTCCATTCGCTCTGGATTTTCAGAGGCTCATCTCTAGAGAATACACTCGACCGGAGGGCTTTCCGGTTCCCAATGATGCGTTCAGAGTCCTTCAATTTTAGTTCTGTTTATGTACGGTCAGCAGGAAATATATATGCACAAGAGGATGGAGCTCCGGTTTTCTTCATTAAATTCGTTATTTCAATTGGCAGCCAATAGTGGGGAAAAGATTGATTAGCAAGGTCAGTAAATGTAAATGTACAATGGTTGTTCAATTGCAAAATCAGTAGTTTATATTCTTGAGTTTTTTAGTACACAGAAGTTGAAAGAAAGCTAGCTCTAGGTCAGAAACAAATTGTCCAATATTTAATGGGGCTTCACGGCCAGGATTCCTGGAATTAAAACATTAGCGAACTATTTTTTTCGGGGTAATTCTAAAATGGCAGTTTCCATTTGATTTGTATTGTTAAAGAAAAGAGACTCACTCTCAACATCCGCCACACTTTGTTGCAGAATTTGTTGAAGAACCTTGGGGTTCTCCAACTCCTTCTGGATCTTGGAAATGACGTTCTGGGCTAACTCGTGTTGTTGGCGAACCTTGACCTGTCCCTCGTACTGTACCCACGAGTCGAGGACCTTCTTTGCCTCAGCGGCTAAAGCAGTGCGCTGCTCCATTTCATAGGCCTGAGCCTCCAATCGGGCGGTTTCCTATAGATATCAAATTTTCAGAAACACATTGCCCTCCTCCGTACTCATTGAGAAACACCTGGCCGCTTTACACATACCTTGGACACCTCAAAGAGGTCCTTTGTGATCTCAACAACACTGCTCAATTGCTTGACGTTCTCGATCCTTTCCTTCACAGCGTTGGTGTGGTTTGCTCTGGCGCCGTTAAGGATATCCTTCTGCTTCTGGATCTGACTCTCGGCCCACTCCTTATACATGGGCCCAGCCATCTTCGCTACACCGGTGAAGACGCTGAGGAGACAGAATGCAGCGACGGTTTCCTCATTGAAGACATAAAGCTCATTGCTGATAGCGGCGATCGAGAGCCCAGCACCGGCGGAGAGAATGGCAGTCTTCGACACCAGACTATTGCCTGGGATGGCATCGATGATAGACTGCGCCTTGGTTTTGGGGTCTTCGGCGGGAACGTTGGATACTGACCGACTAGATGTAAGGGAGGTTGTGGCCACCGGGATTGTTCGAGAAGAGATGGCAGGACGGACACGGGCTGCGCCTGAAATCAATCAATTAGCCGTTACAATTCAAACAGGCAGAGCGCAGGATCGGAGGTGCCGTAACAACATACCAATGGCGCTCTTCGCTAATCTTAAAGCCATTGTGATGGAAAGGAGTGTGTACAGCGAGTGAGAGGTTTGCTGGTGGTGGTGATGGAGTTGTTGCCATCAATTTGGTGAAGGCTCGGGTGGGAGCTAGCGCTAGATCAATTCAGGACTAGCGTGATTTGTCTTCCGAGTTTGCATCAAAAAAATGGACTTTGAGAGACAAAAAGAGAAAACAGGGAGAGGAGTCGGATTTCAATAGACGACGCGATATTATAAGCCTCCTCGATTAAGACTAATCCACATGCTAGCTACCATGCCCGGATTACTTGACGGAGTACACAACTCCAAAAAAAGGAAGAAAGAATCTTCGGAACACAAACAGCAATCGTCCAAGCGGGCGGGTTGTGGCAGATGAGGACAGGAGGACAGACAGATACAGCAGTTGGA